GATTTTTCAGAGACTATTAAGCTCCTATCGGAACTATTCAGGCCTAACACAACATTGTTCCACAAACGTTGGAAATGTCTGAAGACAGTCAAAGACAACCAGCAAGATATTCTAACGTTTGCAGCATCGGTAAACAAGCTCTGTAATGATTTTAAACTAGCCGAACTGACTGCCGATGATTTCAAGTGCTTGATTTTCGCACAAGGTCTAGTATCAGCAGAAGACGCCGAAGTCAGACGACGGGTACTGACCAAGCTTGAGAACGAACAAGGATTGACTCTCCAAAAAATGGCAGAGGACTGTCAAAGAGTAATATCTGTAAAGTGTGACTCAAACACTATCGAGGAATTAGGTGTGACTCAGATTAATAAAATCAGAAGTAAGTCTACCCCCTATTCCCCTCAAAAAGACAAAAGGCAAATCTCATGTCCTAAATTCCGCAGTAAAACCCAAATAGGTTAAATAAACCGCCCGGATCATGTTACCATTGTGGTAAATGGCATTGGATGAAATTCTGTCCAGTTAAGAACAAAAAATATTGCAAAAATTGCAATAAAAGTGGTCATACTTTAACTTCGTGCTGGTACGCCAACAGAACGAAAAAACCCAAAAATAAAATTAGGCAAGCCCAATCTGACGATATTGCCGATGGGAATTTAAGGAAATATGTAACTGGATATTTTCAATAATTCCATTAAATTCCAGCTTGACTCGGGTTCCGATCTTTCAACCATTAACTGGCGTACTTGGCGAAAATTAAACAAGCCGACCTTATTAAAAACGGATAAAACAGCAAAATCCGTAGCTGGCGAAAAGATTAACATTTTAGGCGAGGTAATACTTAGAGTAACATTAAATGGAGTTATCAAAAAGCTCAAAGCCTATGTAATAAAAACTTCAGGCAACTTATTTGGAACTGATTGGATAGAAAAATTCAATCTTTTGGGATTGCCCAATGAGTACATTTTGTCGCAAGATGCAAAGTACAACGTCCAATTTGGTAAATCTAAAAAAGGAACTCAACAACAATTTCCCCAGGTTTTTTTCTGGCGGCCTTCGGAAATGTACTAAAATGAAAGCTAAGTTCAAGCTGAAGGACGGTGCACAACCGGTATTCAAAAAGAAACGGAATGTCCCTTTCGCTGCTCTAGAGCAAATAAACAAAGAGTTAGATAGACTCGAACAAGCAGGTATTCTGTCAAAAACAGATTTCAGCGAGTGGGCAGCACCTACGGTCTACGTAAAAAAGAAGTCCAATCAAATACGAGTATGCGCAGATTTTTCCACAAGGTTAAACGATGCCTTGCAAGATCACCACTATCCTCTTCCAAGCCCTGAAGAAATTTTCAGTAAACTCAATGGTGGAAAATTCTTTTCTAAAATTGACATATCGGACGCATACCTGCAGATAGAGGTGGATGAAGAAAGTTCCAAATTGCTCTGCATAAACACCCATAGAGGGTTGTATAAATACAATAGACTGGCTTTTGGAGTGAAGGTTGCGCCTGCAATTTTCCAGCAGGTCATGGACACCATGCTGGGCGATCTTGACTACGCAACGGCCTATTTGGATGACATACTGGTTACCAGTAAAACTATGGCAGAGCACCGGAACCATATAATAAACGTATTCGAAAAGATACAAGAATACGGATTTAAGGTCAAGGAGGAAAAGTGTGACTTTTTCTTACTTGAGATTAAATACTTAGGACACATTATAAATAAAGACGGTCGTCGGCCGGATCCAGAAAGAGCCAACGCGATCAGAAACATGCCGGCCCCAGATAACGTTCAAGCGTTACAAAGCTTCCTCGGCCAAGCTAACTTTTACCAAGGGTTCATTAAGAACATGCAAAATTTGAGAGGGCCTCTCAACCAACTTTTAAAAAAGGACAAACCATGGTCATGGACCCCGGAATGCCAAGACGCATTCGAGAAGATCAAGAAAACTCTTACTTCAGACCTCTCCCTCACCCATTACGACCCTAGTCTCGACATCATAGTCGCAAGTGATGCAAGCTCGTACGGCATAGGGTCTTGCATATTACATAAACTGCCAGACGGTTCGCGAAAAGCTGTGGCTCACGCATCAAGATCTCTACTTCTAGTTGAGAAACAATATTCCCAAATAGAGAAAGAGGCTCTAGGGTTAATATTCGCTGTGACAAAGTTTCACAGATATCTACATGGTAGACGGTTCATACTGCAGACGGACCATAAACCTCTAATCACAATTTTTGGGTCTAAAAAAGGTCTGCCAGTCTATACTGCAAATAGACTACTTCGTTGGGGTACAATTCTTTTAAACTATAATTTCAAGATAGAGTTCCTAACAACCAAAAATATCATCCATCCAGTTTATCGTGACTCATTCCAAAAAATACAGAAGTCTTTAAAGACTCCATCATTGCTACTCTAAGGACAAATTGTGAAATCAAAAACATGATCGCGAGTACCATAAGAGAGCTCCCAGTTACTTTGGCCGACATTAAAAGGGAGTCTCGAGATGATGAATTCATTCAATCAATAAAAAGCAAAATGCGCAACAAAGACCCCATGGTGCCGGAAGTTTTCTCCCTTTGCGATGATGTCCTACTATATAATGACCGGGTAGTGATTCCAAACAGCCTACAAAGAAAAATCCTCAGGGATTTTCACATGGGACATCCAGGGAAGAACCGTACGAAAAGCCTCATGCGCTGCTACGTTTATTGGCCTAACATGGACAAGGACATAGCAGACATGATAGAAGCATGCAAAAGATGCGCGCTTGTAGCAAAAGCTCCAAACACGACGTGCAAACCATGGCCCAAATCAGATCACCCTTGGCAAAGAATCCATGTGGATTTTGCAGGGCCTATCTCATTGTTGTGGATAGCTACTCAAAATGGCCTGAGATCCTACAATGTAAAAGACCAACCACAAACTGCACGATCGGATTTTTACACGAGCTATTCGCGCGTTTTGGCGTCGTAGATTGTATAGTTACTGATAATGGCACTCAATTCAGATCAAGTGAATTTAGAGACTTCTGCAAGTCATATCAGGTGGACCACGTTACAACACCTCAGTACCAACCTAGGTCAAATGGCCAGGCCGAAAGTTTCCTGGACACTTTCAAAAGGGCTTTAAGAAAGGCACTAGGCACACCGACAGATAGAGCATTGCAACAATTTCTGCAGGTGTATCGGATAACCTCTAATCCGAACACGCCTATGGGAAGCTCGCCTGCAGAAACAATGTTCGCAAGGAAAATAAAGTCTGTCTTCGACAAACTGATTCCACGACAAGCAAAATTTTAAAAAACCGTATCGCCTCATAGGAAATATTTCAATCCTGGCGATAGGGTTTTTTTCAAGGCGTACAAGAACAATATGACATTCTGGGAAGTGGGCATCATAAAGCAGAGAATTGGCGAACTGGTATATATGGTCCAAGGACCAAAAAACATTCACAAACGCCATTGGAATCAGCTCAGAAAATCCGTTTGAAGGAATCGGAAGAATCACTACAAAATAACTGTGAAGAGCCGATCGACGTAATTTTCGATCACTTCGATCTCGACAATCCCCAAGTCTCTCTTGAAGTGCGACGCTCAGGAAGGAAAAGGAAATTTACTCAACCGCTCGACGTAAATCCCAAGAGGAAAAAGTATTAACGGTTTTATTTTTTCCCTCCTTTTCAAAAAGAAAACTCTTTGGAAGGGGGGTATTGTGAGACCGGAAACTACCTATACAATAGACTCTTCCAGGCCTATATTAAGTAGGCAACATAGCACTCTAGAGAGTGTTATAGTAATCTCCGCTTACACTATCTGTGTAACCTGTTGTTAATATATCTTTCTTACATCTAATCCGTGTTCCGTGTTTTACTTCTGTGGTCCCAACTTTGGCCCCACATCACTTTCTTAAATACCCTCGTCAAATCGAGACTTTCATATGGGCGTCATGCATGGCGCCTAACCCATTCAGAAATATCTAAACAGTCAGCTACATACAACTGCTTTCTAAGATGAATGATGAAAAAATCTTTGAGCGAGAAAAACCTGAGGGTCTCTAGGCAAAGGTTATATTGGAAACTGGCGCTAGAGAATTACAAACAAGGAACTGTTACCAAATAACAGAAAACCACATCACTTGAGGACTTTCAATAACAGCAACGACTAAAATGGATAGTACATGTAACTTAAAGAGAAAATAATGACATAATCAAGATGTTGACATTCCACACTACTTCAAATAAAAGGTTAGGAAGGAAACACCCATAAATAAGTGAAAAGAGCGATAACAACTACTGGACTTGAAAAACCTATTTTCCTGAAAAATTGTTTTAAAAGAAAGACTTTATAAATTTCAACTGACAGTAACACTGACTGTTCGGGCAATGAATGCCAAATGTTTCCTTATAAGGAAACAGTTAATATTAATATTACTATTATTTTTTGTTATTCCTATTCAAATCTTTTTATCAATTGTCTTTCTTTTAGAATATCTTTGTATTTATTTTTCCTTGCTTCTGTATTTTCTACATCGACTTTCCGGTGCCATTTTTTTTCTATCGACTACATTCTCACATCCACCAAAAAGTATGATCCCAAATTTCACCTGCCTAAGACGTTCTCACGTCTTAAAGCAAACTGATGGAATGTCCTAAAAATAAAAATTCTCTTCGCCCTATTCATTTGCTCTTCTAAATTATTCATCTTCATGACCAACTTTCAGCGTCCTCTGCCTCAACTCTTTGCATTTAGAGTTCTGCGTTTCTCCTCTTCCTTCTCCCTCGCTACTTCCGACTTCCTGTCCTCGCTCTTCTCTATTTCCTATTATTCTATCTTTTGAAATTCTCGCATCCCGACTCTCCTCTTTTACTCTCCTTACATTTTCTCCTCCTTACTCTCTTTTTATAGCGATTTACTGGCCGTAGCTTAGATATGGCACAAGGACGAAAGTATGGAACACCTAGTGAGGATTGAGCTCACTACGAGGTCGTAATTGATCTAGTGAGATAAGCTTGTTAACCATACATTACGTTTGCTGTATCTATTTCATTCTTTCTTTCGGTTTTCTCTTTACTCTCTCCACTCTCCCTTTTCTGAGTTTTCTCTCACTTTTAATTCCTCCCTCTTTTTTTTCTCCTACGTCTTCGTCTACTCATATTTTCCCCAATACTTCTCCTTATAAGTTTTCTTCTTACTCTTTTATTTGTTCTCTCTTAAATCGTATTTTTGTCTTTTACTATAATACTCTCCTTCATCTGTCTTACTCTCCCTCACCCTTTCACTCTAATCCGTATATGTTTTGTCTTTCTTTTTCGATTTTCTCAATTTGATTGCTTAGTTCGAGCGAACAAGGCAATCTCTCACATTGCCAACACTTAATCCTTAAGTTTTCTATTCTAACAAATGTGGCGGGAAACGTCTTCCATGAAACGAGTCGAAGCGACTGATTTTAAATAAAGACCATCTGGTTGTATAAATATTTTATGCAAATATCGTAAAAAGCTATGGATTTTTAAAATGTTTTTTATGTCTTTTACAAGCTATCAATCCTTATCATGCTGGTTTCTGACGTTTTCTTACCGCTTATCGGGAGATTGAAGGTTTTGAGGAGCATGGAACCACGTCTTAACCAATGATTCAAGATGGTAGCACCTGTTAGGAATTCAGCTATGTACAAATAGCGATTATCGCCGGAACCTCCAATACGAACATTTCTGGTGTTTATGTGTCAATCTAAGGAGAGAGCAGAGGATTCGGATGAGTCTAATGGTGATTACGAAGGTACAGCAACTCGGGAAAATATTCTGCTCGTTCTGATAAGAAAAGAACTCTCGAATTTGCTGGTGAGGGCCCCAGTCTCAACACGTAGGCCTACATCAAGTGACTTGAGGAGGTAGTGCTGCCCTGGGTCAAGGGGGTGCTGCTGGAAGACCCTCTCTCTGGAAACAGGATTCTGCACCATGCCACACAAGCAGAAAAACCCAGTCAAGGCTATAAGACAATTTCTGTGAGTGCATCATCCTTTCCATCTGGCCACCTAACTCCCCAGACTACAACCCCCTTAATTATTATGTGTGGGGCGCAGTTGAGCGAGAGACCAACAAAACTCCTTGCAACACCAAAGATGAACTGAAGACAAGGCTTATGGCAGCATTCACCAATTTAAATAAAGAGACCGTCCAGAAGAGATGCAGGAGAATCTGAAGTCATCTGGAAGCCGTGGTTGATGCTAATGGCGATTTTATTGAATAAATTTATCTAGTATTTCAAGATATTTTTGTGCAATTTTGTAAATATATCTGTTAAAATGAGATGCCAGGGTTATTTTCATTTATTCATAATTTAAGCCACAATTTATCCATCACACGCTATATATATGCATGTTTATGTGCGTATATGTAACCACACTTTTAAATATATATATATATATATATATATATATATATATATATATATATATATATATATATATATGTGTATATTATATATTTGTTTGATTGATGTGAGTTTGTGACCTGGTTTTCGCTTTTGCGATCGTCAGACAAACTGATTAATCAGTTTGTCTGACGATCGCAAAACGTGTTAACAAAATCTCACTAGGGTCACAAACTCACTGGGTGTTCCAATCCATATCAAATAAATCGCATAAGGAGGAAAATTTAATCAGTCTGATTAATCAGTTTGTCTGACGATCGCAAAAGCGTGAAACCCAGGGTCACAAACTCACATCTATCCAACCAAATAGGTTAGCTCTATCTCTGATATTGAGCGCTTTCTAATAAGTACCGCGCATATAATATATAAATAATTATATATATATATATATATATATATATATATATATACATTTTCACATATATATATATATATATATATATATATATATATATAGTGCAACCTCGGTTCTCGAAAATATCACATGTCGAACAAATCGGTTTTCGAAAAGAAAATTCGAGATGAAAATGCCTCGGTTATCGAACAAAATTTCGATTCACCAACAACACTGCCGACCCGGGTTAACCCGAACGGAATAATTTCTGAGTCGACCGCTGGGCTGTATACATTCGTGTGTTGTGGCGTGCTTTTCATTACCAATTTTATTGTACTGTGACCTTTTTCTCTACATTGATTCCCATTGGAAAAATAGTTTCGGCTTACGAACATTTCATGTTACGAACGGCCTTCAAGAACGAATTAAATGCGTGAACCGATATACATATATATATATATGTGTGTGTGTGTGTGTGTGTGTGTGTGTAATGGCAGTATATATATATATATATATATATATATATATATATATAGTATACTGCCTTTATATTCGCGCGTTGATACCAATTCCTGAAGAGTATATAATGAGATATTCAGTAATCCGAGCACATTCACGGACTCCGTTATCAGAGAATATGGCGCATACGCCTGGAAAATCGCTCATAATATTATCCATATGTCTTTTAGCCGCATTGACAACCAGCGTATTCTTCAGATTTTTTTAGTTCTTTGAATGTATTCTTCTCATACGTTTACCATTGTTATTGATATAGAGTTGATAAGATTGTGGCACCTCAGAAACTTTAGATGCCATCATGCGAAAAGCCAAGGCAAGAGCCTAAATAAAATCCATTCACAAATTTTCCAACTGAATTATAATAAAGTTCGTTTAGAAGAAAGACTACCAAAGCTAAGCAAAAGGCGAGCAGTAGTGAACTTTCTTTTCTTCTTCTTTTTTTTTTTTTTCTTTTTTGGCTAGAATCTCATCAGTTCTCTTTTGATAACGTAAAGCAATAATGTGGATTTTATGCAAAACGAACAAAAAGAACAACGTGACCTTTGACTTGCTCTTCTCTGCATTGCTATCAACAAATATTTCTCTGTGTCGGTGTTGGGTAATTGTTAGCGAGCTAATCTGGTTGGTAATTACTCCTGAATAGTGGATTTGAAGGTTAATGGGCACCCAATATTTGTAGTTTTATGCCAAACTAAGCGTATTAAATAGAATTAAGAATGTCCTCTTTAACCTTCTGTACTCTATATTATTAATATTACCATTCTTTTCCACCATTCTTTTTCAAGGTCTCTCAATTGCAGTATCCTGATTATTGATTTCAGACAATGTTGTTTGCTGTCACCATAGCAGAATATGACAACACAACTATGAAATTCAAACACTATTGTTCAGGAATTAGTCCCATTTCTTGGCAGGATAAACTTTTTGTACAGTAAATATCAGAAGCAATTGTTAATTTAAATGACAATAACTGTCAACGTATAAAACATGCGCCAGATTTTTTTTCAAATATGTAAAGATGGCGATGAGTCATAATTAATTCCCGCTTTTGCTTATCAACTTTATTCTTCAAAAAGTAACGTATAATTGCATTTTATTCAATTGTACAACCCCAATGACATATCAGACAGCTCTTCAATAACTTGTGAATAAAATTCCACAGGTTTTGATGTGAACAGGTTCTCGACGTACACTTGAATTTGGTTTTCATTAGAGGAATATTTCGACATCAATAAAACATTTTGCAGAAATCGAAAAAAAAGTAATTATTACTGAAAAGTCAGATGAAAACAGCTGGTCGGCTGGAGTAGACTAACAGAGTTCCAAAAGTTTTTCCTATGTGTGTTTTTTTATAATCAATTCATCCCAAGCAAGGGGATGATTCTAGTAAGACTCCAGGGGGCTACTGAGAATTAAAAAAAATTGTTGCATAGCCCCATGGTGGGGATGGTCTCATCTCTTTTCTCGACTTGCGTTCGCTAATTATTTTGGTTCAGCAATGAAATGAAAGAATTCAAACACAGAATTTTAACTTGACTATTTTTATTACTCATGTCGACATGTACATTATCTAACTATCCAATAGGGGTCGGCGTTTCAGACACAAAAGAGAACACGTCTACATCGCTTGACGAGTAAGAAACAACTTTCTGAAAGCGATCTATCTTTCCCACGCCAGCTCAGCCAGTCAAAATCGACTTCCCTATTGATGCTTACATCTGACCCCGAATGTCAACCTCCAGACGTAGCAGCCGAGATACACTTTCCCCTAGAAATAATAGTCTACTAAACTATTATTTAACAAAATGATAAAGATTTTGAAGGAAGCAGAGACCCAATCCTAAACAGTAAACAAGATATAAATATCTGCACCTGTTCAAAAGAGCGTTGAGGAGTGTGAACCAGACGATAGGCGAACCTATCTACTCCTATTGAGACAAAAAAATTAAATAAACCAAAAAACAAATAAATAGTAAATAAATTTTCAGAGTTTAAGTGAAGACGCTGGAAGTATAGATTTGAAGTCGACTTTAGAAGGAACCAGAAACCCAATTCTAAATGGGAAACGAGGGATAAAACCTCTACTTCTGTTCAAAAGAACTTGGAGAAGATCTAACCGGGCGATAGGCAAACCCATCTTCCCTTACTGAAGAAAAAGAATAAATAAACAGTAAGTAAATTTTCAGAATTTAGGTAGAAACATTAGAAGTATAGATTTGAAGTATAGAGGTAACCAAAAACCCTATTCTAAACCGGAAACAAGGGATAAACTTCTACTCCTGTTAAAAAACGGGGAGGAGTGTGAACTGGACAATAGACGAAACTATTTACTCCTATTAATGTTTTTAGTGTTATTCTTGCTGCACGCAGCCTTGCGTTATCATGGAGAAGAAGAACAGTTTTCTTATTGACGATCGCAGGACCCTTTTTCAACCAAACTTTTATAGACATGTTGCAGCTGATAGGCGTATAAATGTGCATTTAGTGCTTCACTGCGTTTTAAGAACTCTTAAATTAAATATACCCCACGATCCCAATGTTACCTTTCTTCAATGGAGCTCAGTTTCTGGAGTCGGTTGTGGAGATTTATCGTTGTCAATTCACTGTCATTTGTGTTGAATTGTGTTATCATATGTAATACGTTTTTATCAGCTGTTTTGATATACAGTGTAACCCGGATATAAGAGACACGGATATAAGAGAAACCCGGATATAAGAGATATTTTCTCTGGTCCCAAATTAGAGCCCATACTTACCTAAACAAAATAGACCAAACCCGGATATAAGAGAAACCCGGATATAAGAGACTTCTTCTCCGGTCCCGACAACTCTCTTATATCCGGCTTACACTGTATCTACAAAACGGTTATTTAGAATGAAATAATTCGTCATTACTCATTGTTCTCAAAAATGGAAATTACTTATGACTCAACCTAATAAGTTAACGATGTAATCGACTAGGGCTTGTATGGTTCTCTGTGCCCGTGTACAAGTACCTGACTCCTCGTACTATATTCTACCAAGAGCCAAATCAGGTCTAAAATCGTGTATATATAGTGTCTGGCCGCTCGTATCCGAGGATGTCCGTCTACTGAGGCGGCTAGCTAATCCACACTGCAGGCACATTTGTGCTTGTTCAACACCCACGGAGGCCACTGCTTGTTTATACTGCAACTATGCTGAGCAGAACTTAGTTAAAGTTTCTGGGAGGGAGCGTGTTTTCTAGCATGATTAACAGTCTGAACAAAGCCAGCACGCTTAAACCCTCGATCACGATGACTTGTGACTTCGTGCTAGCAAAACCACCGATGGCTCCCAAGGATTCCATCTACACAATTTCACTCACAAGGCTTGGGTCAACCGGTGGTATGGTTTTCAGGCACTTTCCAAAAGTGCCGCTCACTGGAATCGCTTTCTCCAGACCGATAACATCACGAAGTTACCTTCCTGACAAATCAACCTGGTGAGATTCGAACCCAGGTCTTATGATCAGTAAGCGAACGTTCCAACCACTAGGCCATATGGGGACAGGGGTGTCCAGTCTTCACTTTCAAGTTTTGATAGAGCCTAAAAGCATCTCCGCGTCCTTGTGGGTGACAAATTATTTTCTATCCTCGAAACCTTTTCCCACTGACAAAACGTCACAAGTCTCGCACTGCTTTTATCGCTGTTTCAATGGAAAGTGCTCAGTCGAGCTATATTTCTTAGGTTCACCAGTTCTAACCTTCACAGCTAAGAACCGCCATGCTATGTATACTGTAACGAACCACCGTCATTCCCTCCGTATTCCACTTGTGAGATGTAATTTCCACTCGAGTAGCTTCTTCCCACTAATCATTACTTTGTAGAACTAACTCCCAAGAGGATGCTTTCCTGCTCACTACAATCTAAAATATACCTCTTAGTCTATAACCTTCTACCTGGAGTAGCCCCCAGGCCTTTTACAGGATTGACATCACTGTAAAAAATACTCTAATTTAAATAAAGTGTTTTATAGATTATCAAATGATAATATCAGCTGTTTTCTTTATAAGAAAACATTCGGTGTTCATTGACCGAACAGCCAGTGCCATTGTCGGTTGAAATTTATAAAATCTTTCTATTCAAACAATCTTTCAGGAAAATAGGTTTCTATGCCCTTATCTATTTTCTTTTTTTTAGCTTTTGGAAGTAAAGTCTGATGATCCAGAACCCTGTTAAAGGGGTTATGGTGAAATAGCTTATTATATGGAATCTTAACGTGGTCTGTTTTTTATTCAAATATATCTGCTCTGAATTTTCCATTGAGCTCTCTGGATATTATCCTCCTCGGGTCTACCCATACGGATTACCTAAGTTTGCATAAACTATATATATATATATATATATATATATATATATATATATATATATATATATATATATATATATATATATATATATGCCCCCTATCCTACCTAGACTTAACCTCTTTTTTGAACGTAACACATAATTGATCCAATAATAGTTACTAAAAATGAACACGCTACCGCCCCTGTCTAAATGATTGGATTTCTTTGTATCTTCGGAATCAAAAAATTATGAATTGTATGTGCGTTTAAAACTCAGTAAATTTAAAAATAAGTTATTCCAAAATTCGCTTGAAGATGAAACAGAACTAATGCTTTTAATTTAATTATATAATTAAATTTGAAGTTTTTAACTTCGGTTTTTGAAACATGGTAATTCCTGTGTAGGAATGCTTTTATGCTCTGTAAATTTACATTGAGCACTGTTTTGTAAAAATAAAAATATCAATAAGAACACCGGATTATATATCTTACTGTTCTTTTCTTTTTACTATAATATACACATATATATATATATATATATATATATATATATATATATATATATATATATATATATATATATTAATTCAATTTAATTAGAAAAAGACAAGATATGTGGTTTTTACCTGGTTAAAACCATTTTTTCACCCTTGGAAATGTGATATGATGAACCAGATAAAAAAACGCCTACCTGGGAAAAAATATGATCAATGGACCCTTATGGTTTTCTGTTTTCTTATTAAATTGAATTAATAATTGCTCTGGTTTGACATTGAGATCTCTGTACTAGATCCTCCTTAGTTGTTATTTAATTGTTTTATCTATGTTCTTATCTATTGCCTTTTGTTCATATATATAGATTTATCCTTATATAACTCAGGTTATATCTCTCCACATGTTTTTATCAATCTATATAACTACCTATCGATCTATATCAATCTATGACATATGAGGATCTGCCAGCTTATTGATTCAGTTATGAAAGTTTATGCGCTAATCTTAAGTAGCATTTAAGACCCGCTAGTGATTTACAAAGGAGGCCACATATGGAGCAAGTGTGAGGATTGTGAGATGAGATCACTGTTAGATTGGTTGACCTTTTAGATCTTGCTCTTGATAAGAACGAATCAAGGTAAACCGCCAGAAAACCCACACAAGTGATTTGATTAAAGTGGTGAAGGCTTGTGAAGGACCATATATATATATATATATATATATATATATATATCATTCTGTTCATAACTCTATATATATATCTATATATCTTACTATATATATATATGTGTGTGTGTGTGTGTGTGTCTGTGCGTGTGTGTATATATATATAATTTTCATATCTATCTCAATCTGCTTCCATCTGCCTGTCTATCTCATTCAGATAACATTTATCTGGTCCATTCTCTTCAAATCTATCTTTCTATCTAAATCTTTTCATATCTATATATCTAATTCTCTTCATGTCTGTTTATCGCAATCCATTTATATCTGTCTGCCTGTCTATCTCATTGTATTAACAATGATCTATATCATTTTGTTCATATCTATCTATCTATCTATCTATCTATATATATATATATATATATATATTTCTATCTAATTCTCTTCATATCTATCTATCTTTCTCCATCTATTTATAACTGTCTGCCTGTCTATCTCATTGTGTTAACATTTATCTATATCATTCTATTATTATCTCTCTATCGATCTATCTATATATATATACATACATACATATATATATATGTATATATACATACATATATATATATACATAATATATATATATATATATATATATATATATACATACATATATATATATATATATATATATATATATATATATATATATATATATATATATATATAATTCTCTTCACATGTATCTATCTATATCTCTGCACGTTTTTACATTTTTCTTTCTCTGCCGCTGTCAGTTTATTCATGCAAATCCATAAACCAATTATTATTATTATTATTATTATTATTATTATTATTATTATTAATCCAATAACTATTTCTTTTGTTTGCAGGAATTGGTTGGGCCGTGGTTCTGATCGCCTTTTACACGGATTTTTTCTACAACGTCATCATTGCTTGGTCTCTCCACTATTTCTTTGCATCTTTCACCACAAACCTGCCATGGGTCTCTTGCGAAAACGACTGGAACACGCACCGTTGCTACGACATCTTTTCCCGATTCAAGAACGGAAGTCGAGGTCTACTGAACCACACACTGGGCGAGTTCACTACCAATAACACGGAAATCCAATCTATTGTCAACATATCTGTTGGACTGGCACACAATGTCACCACCAAGATACACCAACTACACATGTCCACGAATAAGTCGGTCTTTCCTGCTCAAGAATACTTTGAGTGAGTTCAGCATATTTTTCTTTACTATTTTTCATACAAGGACTAAGTGCCGGTCAAGGTAGAGGGTTACTGTATTGGAATGTTGTAAGGGAGAGAGCAATGGTTGTTTATTATGAGGATATGAAGGATGCATAATGGTTGATCCTCCACATGAAGATACTAAGATTGTAGTGATCAAGAAACATCCACTCGGGAGTCTGTTCTACATTGTAACAGTTCTGGGAAATAAACTGTCTTAGGTAAATTTACTTTTTAGAAATGGATCATGAAGTGAGTGAGCATGAGTCGACTCAGTGTAAGTAGCATGGAAGGTCTTAGTTATGATGGTCTAGACTGTTGGATCCAAACAGTATAGTTCCCCCCGAACATCTGCCATGGAATTAGCGACAAAGCTGCGAGAGGCTAGCAACGTTCCATCTTTGAGAAAGAGATTGAAGAATATAAAACAATTCATCATCCACAAGACCGCAAAAACGCTTTTAAAATCGGTTGAGACTTAAAAGAGAATATTGTTCAATGCATGGTCACCAGCAAAAGCATGTTTAAACTCATGCAGTTTAGGAACCAGCGAAAGTAGCTCGTCAGAGCAATTACCGGGAAATTAGGACAGAGAGGGGCGACGGCACGTCTGTAAGAGGGCGACTGTAAACGAGATGCCAGATCAGGACCAATCACATTGCATATCCTCTCTGGATTTTGTCGAGGACCTTAAGACGAACAGCGGAATATGCGTACATCTGTGTTCCCCGTCACTGGAATATGATTGGCTGGTGTCCGTCATAAATACCGACGGACGTGTAGGAGAATCAAGAGCCTTAGTCTGAGAGCTAAGTCTATAACGACGCCCATTGGACTACGCCATTGATCTACACTTCATACCTGCGACTACGACGCGTACCAGTCGATTACTGCTACCGTATTCTACTTGGTTATAGTAGCCAAAACCAGTTAGCTACTTCGTTCAAATATATTCCTTTCGGGGACATATAAAAAATTAACTCATTTTTATTGACTTACCCAGTATAAAAAAAACAGAAACGATATAGGCCCCTGTTTAAAATAAAAATGATTATTTTTTTTTAGCGTGACCATTATTACACGTTATAACTGCAATGAGAAACTGTTTATATAACAGGCTTCGTCCATTAAAAGTACTTCAGAAAAAATGGTACTGCTGATATTAGCCGTCTCCCTATAAGGAAACATTCAGTGCTGCTGTCAGTTGAAATCTTTTTCTTAAAACAATTTTTCAGGAAAATAAGTTTCTCAGATCCACTAACTGTTATCGCTCTTTCCAGTATTGATAGGAGGCTTCCTAACCTTTTGTTTGAAGTAGGGTGGAATGGCCGCATATTGATTATGTCATTATTTTCTCTTCGATTTTCGTGCGCTATCCATTTTAGTTGTTGCTGCTGTTGAAATTCCTCAAATGATGTGGTTTCTGTTATTTGGTACAGTTCGTGAAGTTCGAAGAAGGACGATCCTCGCAAAGACCTACAGATTTCATTCTCTCAAAGCCATTTTTAACTATTAATCTGGGAAAGCGCTTATATACAGCTGTCAGTTTAAGTTTTTCTGAACGAGACGGAATTATATATATATATATATATATATGTGTGTGTGTGTGTGTGTGTGTGTGTAAAGGGAATTCAGAGCAGCATGAATCCATCCAGCTCCTATCTTAAATAACAACTTAAAATAGACTGTTTGAACAACACAAGGGCTGAACAAAATTCATGTTAAAAAACAAATGAAAGCTACAGACAAAAGTTCATTTTCTCCATCAAGACATTCATTTCTGTAGTTCACTGCTACTAACAAACAGAATTTTTTTCTCCTGATGATGACCATTTTGGCCGAAACTAGTCGAGGAATCTAACTGAAATAATAAAAACGAAAGAATATTAATATACAACCCAATGTATCTGAAGATTTTATTTTTTTATTGTTTGAAAATATATATATATATATATATATATATATATATATATATATATATATATATATATATATATATATATATATATATATATTTCTAATGCTCTAATTAGCAATTTATCATTAAAGACACCAACTCTACGTTACAGGTTAACTCAACAACAGACAACTTCTTTCGGCTTTCTTTTGCTCGCTTATTTGAATGTGCTGGGTGAGAAGGTATAGTAGCAGACATTGTTTGTTGGAGGAAGCGAGTAGGAATGATAGATAGAACGAATGTCAACATGTCGGCGAGCGACCTATCATTTCTGTCTGCTGAAATTAAAGCATGCAAAGACCCTACACGCAAGCCAACAATCTGTTACTCGGTGGCATCCACTAGCGTTTACCGCTAGTATCCTACTGTCGGCCCGCAGGCGTATTCGTCTCGGCAATGTGACCACTGGCCGAATGCTAGATAGATGCCCACTGGTTGCACACCGGTGGCTGCTACCAGAGGACAGCTGGCGTTGCCATCGGCGGCCTGCCAGCGGGCCACTAGCGGCTTGCGTGTAGGGAAGGCGTTGGGAAAGCTCGGACGAGCTTATGAGCTATTGGTTGTCTACTGCTTCGCGCATTTTCAGTCTTATATCACTGAAGTGGCAAAATTTTAAAATGTAGGTAAAATATAAATATATATATATATATATATATATATATATATATATATATATATATATATGTATATAATTATTTATTTAAAAATATGATTCCAAATCGCTACATAAGAGGTCTCATGTTTCAAAACAAGAGCCGAAAACTTCAATATAATCCTTTAAATTAAATTGAGTTGAAATTAAAAAAGGGCTCCGTTCCATCTTCAAGCGAATTTTTTGTTGGAATAACGTATATCTGAAATTTACTTGTTTTAAAAGTTGAAATCAAAATCACCATGGTAACAGCTAGGGCGAATTGTCTAAAATGGGTAGGCGAGTGTAGGGTGTTAATGATGAGTGGCGGTATAGAGATACTTTCAAGGTGTCAAGTCGGGGAAAGGTGGGGGTGTCAAAAATGAAACGGAAGATGTATTAAGCTTTCGTCAAGTTGGCTTGTCTATGGAGATTTATTTATTTTATTTTATTTTATTTTATTATGAAAGGGAATTGTGCATATAAAAAGAAAAACTTTCGTGGCGTTTGTTTTTTGACGACTTCATAAAGGGTTATCTTTTATGTAAGGTATTTAAACTACTAATTTAGGCTATGGATTATGAAGTGTGTTATGTTGTATGCATGTTTGTAGTTAATAATTTCTACTATGAATATGATGATTGGGTTATTTGTTAAAAAAGTTATATAATATTTTTTTTATTTTTTATTTTTTTTTTATTTCAAACCAAAAATCTGATGATGCCTACAAAAAACCGTTAACTCGTGTCTATTATTTAATAGATTATTATTATTTAGAAGTTTAATAATGTGTAATTTTTCATGGAGGCACAAAGGGCATGGGTCATCCCAAGCTTTACATATTCTAGCCTTGTCAATAATTTTCCATTTAACTTTTGGTGTCTTATTTGTTTCCTTCAATTGCCAATTTTAAAATAATAATAAAAAATACTAAGGAACTTTGGACTATTTACCTAACCAGTTCCTTCCTATATTTTATATATTTTTAACATATATATATATATATATATATATATATATATATATATATATAATGTAGGTATAGAAAAATATAGTACAGTGTGACCCGGATATAAGAGACCCGAATATAAGAGAAACCCGGATATAAGAGAGATTTTCTCTGGTCCCAAATTAGAGCCTGCGTTAATGTATATAAAACAGACCAAACCCGGATATAAGAGAAACCCGGATATAAGAGACTTCTCCGTTCCCGACAACTCTTTATATCCTGGTTACACTGTATATATATATATATATATATATATATATATATATATATATATATATATAGAAAATATATATATATATATATATATATATATATAAAATATATATATATATATATATATATATATATATATATATATATATATATATATATAAAGCTTTTTTTTATTAATCTGACAGATTTTTATTACTTAAACGTTATCTTTTTAGTGGATATTCGTATTTGAGCAGACGATCCGTTTATTTATTAAACCGTATTTATTTTCGCCTATCGGCCTGAATATTTTAAAAATCTTATTAGAAAAATATGCGTTCTCCGACAGTATTCCAGCCAGATCTGATGTGCTTTGACCTCTCGGCTATGGAGCGCGTCGATGCCCACACATAGAATGAATAGGGAGAATGCACTTAGGATTAAAGCGTTGGTTCGTGAATTTGGTGACAGCCAATTCTCTGTAGGTTAGCCAGATCGATATACATCTGAGGAAGGCTGGGTGCACGACAGTCGAAATGTTGTGATAACAACAACAAAGATGAGGAAAATAGTCTGAATATAAATAGCGTAAATAACGATAGCTCCTCATCCCAGAAATTCAAACGAAAATTATAGAAACCTATTTAGAGATCATCTCTTGATATGATAGTTTGGTGGCGAGGATTTACTTCGAAAGTTTCGTTATGTTTTTTAGTTTTAGTTCCTGATTTGGATTCTATTTAAAAAAAATAATAAATAAGAAAACGTTTGTGTTGTAAATATAACGAATATAGAGAAAACAAGAAACAGCAGATGAATACAACGAATTTGATTGTCACGTTATAAACATCTTTAAATAAAAACCGAATCAAACGAATCAAAGACAACACTTAAAAACAATGTTTACACAAAAAGGAGTTTTCTAATTTCCTGCCCAGTATAGATGCGCAATTAACAGACATTCTACTGTACAACGTTCCCAGCATTCCCTTCAACCGTTTCCGCTTTTCCAACGTCTCTTTTTTTTTCAAATCCCGACTTTAGCTATCAATATAGAACAAAAAAATGTACGTAACGATTTTTTCACTCTATAACATGGCTCTCGCATCTTTTTTTCCTTTTTTTTTTTTTTTGTATTTTCTGCTTTGCTCAACAGAGGTAATTTCTGCTGAAGAATTCGGCTGCTTATATCA